GTGACTGCCCTAGCCTAGGGGCTAGGCACTGAAACTGAGAGATGGTAACCTGCTTTTCTTGTCCTGTCTATGACCAGTGACCACCCCATGGCAAGGAGTTGGCAACATGGAGAAGAAAGCTGCTGAATGTGAATGTCAGGGTGGGGAATAGACGGGGGCAGATAAGAGTGTGCTGGACAGGAAGAGTAGATTGAGACAAGCATGCTGAGGGGGTGGCTAGGACTTCTGTAAACTGTTGGTGGGAGAAGGGAGCCAGCTTTCACTGGAAGCTGTAAGGTGTGACTGGACACTGGGACAAGCTTTGCAATAAACATGGGACAGAGGACTGCTAGGTTGGGATAAGATGTTGATGAGGGAAAATGGATCTCATGGAGTGGGAAATGTGGAGACTAAGGCCATCTGGGCAAGGGTTTGGGACAGGAGACATTGAGGACCTTGTCACACGGTAACTTTAGGTGGCTTCTGGAGCTTTTAATACCTGGCTTGGCTGCACGTTAACACCTTTTAAGTGGCTTAAAGCACTTGTTATTCATTTTAAAATTACGCCACTCAAGGGCAGGATTATCTCCAGTCTGCCAAATTTTGCCCCTGTTCCGTTAAGGTGTGGCCACTCCAGACAGCTATTCTGCCCAAGTTGAAGTCCTTCAGCATCCGCGAACACAGTGGCCACTGCTGAGTCACGGCTCCAGAGAAAAAAAGGATCAGGCCCTTCAGAGCTCAGATCTGGGCAGCGAGGAGCTTTCTCTGGGGCTCTGCCAGGCAGAGTTGTGCGAGGTCTAGGGCTGCGACCTCCCTGGGGCTCTCTGCACTGAGAGTGGGGCTGTTGGGCTGAAGTCCGGCTCTCAGTGCAGAGCTGCCACAGCTCAACAAGACCAGGTTGCTTTGCTGGGGGCTGTCTGGTTTCATCAAGCTGTGGCAGCTCTGTGCTGAGAGCAGGGATGCCAGGGCTTAAGCCCGACAGCCCTGCTCTCATCGCAAAGCCACTGTCGGTTTCAGAGAGACCAGAGAGCACCAGGGAAGCTGCTTCCGTTAGTCTCTTGGGTCTCACTGCAGCTGACACGGTGATGGGCCTGCTCTTTGCCCAGCAGAAGCAGTGAGTCGGCCCTTCCCTTAGCTCCTAGCCCTGCCTCTGGTCACCAAGCCTCTAGTGGCAAATCACAGCTGTGCAGGTGAAGACCAGCCAGAGAAGGATTTTCACCTTAAAACATAACTGCTCCACTAAGCGGAACAACGCTAAGCTGATTAACGTTTGTATAGCTTTCAGCGTTAGATGTAACAAGGCCCTGAGTCTAGGTGAGGTGCTCAAGGAGGGGAGATTAGAAACCAGGGGGAAATGACACAGATGTGGGGCGGGATAATGAGGGCTGAATTTGGGAGGGGGAGAATAGGGGAACAGACAAGGAATTAAGAAGGAAATGAAAATGCCTGAGCAAAAACTGGAGAGGAGAGAGAAGTGGAATTGGGAATGACTTGGCAAGCAAACTGGGAGTATGTAGGGGAATTTGGACAGGTACTTACAAGGATTGATATTAGGCATGACTAGGCAAGGAGACTGGCATGGGGATGAGAATCCTAAAGAATGGAAAATTGGACTGGAAGAAGGAGCCAGGAGCAAGGAAGAGAGAAGCCTGGGACAGGGGAAGGTTGAAGAGGACAGGACAGAATTGAGCTTGTGAGGAGTGGGCAAAATAGTCTGTTCATAAGAACACTGCCCTCCAGAGCTGGGAATGGATCCCAGCCTGCCTGTGTCTTGCTATTCTTCTGTTGTCAGTAAATATCAGTATCACCCACTAGCAAAGTATTCCCTCATCTTCTAGTGATGAATGCACGTGGAAGATGACAGTTTAATATCACTATCAGCTCCTTGAAGATTTTTTTGTTTAATAATTTTTTAACACTTCTTGAAACTTATCCTGTACTCCTAAAAGCAGAAGGATGAAAGTTAAGTCAGGGAAAATCATGATAGAATTATTAAAACATTTAACTTTCCTGTAAAAGGAGAACAGGTTTATTAATTGTTGTGTATTGGTAAGTAATTTGCATATGGGGGGGCAGTCAGTTGGTGTGGCTAAAATATTAGCCATGGCAACTGAGAGTTTTGGGTTTCAATCGATGGCTTGTGAATACGAGTAATTTGGACAATTTATTTTCATTCTTTTGCAGTAAAGACCTTATTTAATCCTGCTCCAGCCCAGGCTGACCTACATCCACAATTTTACACTCTT